CACGCAAACCCTAAACCCTAAACCCTAAACCCTAAACCCTAAACCCTAAACCCTAAACCCCGGGCTCCGCGGCAGCACCCGGCAAGGCTAGCGCGGCTGCAGAAAGGGACTCGTGGGGGGAAGCGCAGGTGCGTAACTACGGCTTAGGGTTTAGGGTTTGCGGGCTAGGGTTTAGAGTTTAGGGTTTAGGGTTTGGGACTTGCCCTGGCTCGCCCTCAAAGACTATAACTCGGTCTGCAAGATAAGTCGCCATTATGAAGTCGTGTTCAACTACAAACGCCGTTTTCTTTGCATGCAAAATAAACCTGAACATTACAAACCCTAAACCCTAAACCCTAAACCCTAAACCCTCAAACCCAAAGCACCGCGAGTCTGTGAGTGCTCTCTCGATAACCCCAACACCCTGCACCCGCCTCCTCCACCTAAACCCTAAACCCCAAACCCCAACCCCAAACCCTAAACCCTAAACCCTAAACCCCAACCCAAACCCTAAACCCTAAACCCTAAACCCTGACCGTTTGATGACTTTGCTGGCTGCAATTCTTTGTTCGGAGTCGAGGTAAGCTGAGGGTTCATCAATTAAATAAATGTCTGCGGGTTTTCCCAATGCCACAATAAGAGCCACTCTTTGAAGTTCTCCCCCCGAGAGAAGTTGCACGGGCTGGTCCATGACCTGCGAGGGTTTGCAAACGCTCTTTTAGGGTTTAGGGTTTAGGGTTTGCGCCGCGGCCAACGGGGGCAGCGGCTCGCGTCCGTGCGCAGTCACGAAAAAATTTCGCTCAGAAACAACAAATTAGGGTTTAGGGTTTAGGGTTTACTTGGTCCAGGTCGAGAGGCCGCACGACGTCGGTTTGGAACTGCGGGTGATTAAACGCGTCGCGAATCTTTGCGTAAAACAACTCCCTGAAAACAAACCCTAAATCCTAAATCCTAAACCCTAAACCCTAAACCCCAAACCCTAAACCCTGGACCCAGTGCGCAACAGCAGCAGGTATTGCCCAACGCATCCGCACAGCACCCTCGTAGCCGTGCGCTCCCGCCGCCAAACCCTAAACCCAAAACCCCAAACCCCAAATCCTAAACCCTAAACCCTAAACCCTAAACCCTAAACCCTAACGCGCACTTCACTGTGCCCTGGAACTTGGCAGTGACAATTTGGGGTTTGTAAGAAACTGCAAAACTCGGCAGCGCCTCTGAGTTGTCTGGCGACAGCAGGCCGGCGAGCATTCTGCAACACAAACCCTAAACCCTAAACCCTAAACCCTAAACCCTCGTCGCTGACCCCGATCCCTGCACGTCGGCTGCGAAGCCTCGCTCGCCGCCCCACGCCGCCCTCACCCCCACCAACCTAAACCCCAAACACTAAACCCCAAACCCCAAACCCTAAACCCTAAACCCTAAACCCTACCTGATGAAGGTTGACTTTCCCGTGCCGTTCTGGCCCAGCATAACCACTATTTCAGAGTCTGAAAAACTCCCTTTTTCAACATTGAGTTTAAAAGTCCCGAGGGTTTTCGTCAACGCGGGGTATTCGTAGAAGTGCAGCCGCTGCACCCAAACCCTAAACCCTAAACCCTAAACCCGTCGCCCAAAGCCCGCGAACCCGACCCCAGCCCCTCCAGTCACCCACCAAACCCTAAACCCCAAACCCTAAACCCCAAACCCTAAACCCTAAACCCCAAACCCCAAACCCCAAACCCTAAACCCCAAACCCGAACCGCAAACCCTAAACCCTAAACCCTAAACCCTGCCTGCGCCTCCTCGAGGAGGAGGTCCTGGTCGACGGCGAGTTTGAAGTTGAGGGTTTCTTGGCGAAAACGGAGGTTTTCAGTTGGAATAAAACCATCTAAAAAGTGGTTTAAACCCTCGCGAACAGAAAAGGGACTTGTGACAACTCCGTAGGCCCCCGGCTTTCCCCACAAACAACAAATGAAGTCCGACAGGTAGTCCACCACCGACAAGTCGTGCTCCACCTACGCAAACCCTAAACCCTAAACCCTAAACCCTACACGCTGCAGGTGCGGAAGCCGAAGGAACACGCGGCGGCTCCGCGAACGGCTGTTTTGGGAAAACCCTCGTACGCCCCAAACGCTTACTTCTAACCCACCAAACCCTAAACCCTAAACCCTAAACCCTAAACCCTCCCAAACCCTCCCAAACCCTCCCACCCTCCCCCCCTCCCCCTCCCCTCCCC